CTTGCTGTCATGATATAAGACTGATTCCAATGACTATCAAACGTAATTTGAATGATCAAACAAACCACCCACATCGACATACATACGCAAAAAAAATCGAAGGTCATAGGCTAAATTTCTTTTATTCGATCAACCTCTTACTGTATTCGGTCGACCACGAGACCAACACTCGATATTCATTTCACGTCAAAAAGGGATGGATAAATGGATAGAGCACTTTACTCTTCTGTCTGGTTGACCACTTTCTGTAAATGGTCGACCATTTTGGTAATGACCACAATCAAGTGGTCTACCAGTTTGCTTCAGACTACAATGAAAAGGGCGACCCATGTTTTATTGTGGTCGACCGGTAATGTCACAACTTAACTCAAAACGGTCGACCACTATATTTTAAAGGTTGACCGTGTTAAGTCATCATATTGCTCACATTAGTGTATTCGGTCGACCGCGGTTAGGAATAGGTCGACCGAAAAGTGCATCTTACGGTAACATGCATGTCACCATAGGCGCACCCAGTTATAATTTGCATAAAAATATCTAATGGACACTACACAACATAATTACAAATTAGAAGTAGATGGTCAGTGTCTAATGCGGTTAGAAAATATGATGACTATATGATAGTACGAGAAAAAACTTTTTGGTCTATGAAATGCAGTCGTTCCGGTCATCTGTAGTCCACCCAACACCCACCCGACTAAGGGTGGATAGGAGACTTATTAGTTCGCAATTCATCCACATAAATTACAAGCTCATTGCGGTTCGGGATATTTGTGGGTGAATTGACGTCAAACCGCGAATTAACCACTTAGGTCACGTACGCACCCCTAGATATAAGTGTAGGTAAAAGTAAAATTTGTCAAATTTTGAGAAATAGGGTCATTAGTAAAATATTAACGCCTCTCCAATTATCACGATTCAAATATATTAATTTTGTATTTTTTAGCTTCCATTCAAAATTTTAGCTCCGCCATTGATAATGTAAACTTAATTTTTTAATACACTGTAAAAATATTATAGAACTAACTTATATTTAACTTTGAGTTTTCTGACCAAATATGCATTTGTTTTTTTTACGGGACTCAATTGAGAAAAAAATAATAGACCAAAAGTGGAAAAAACATGAATTTAACATTAGTTTGGACTAAAAAAATTGGGCATTGTTATTCGTCGCTCTAAAATTCTTTATTCGTCGCCCTAATTAAGTTAAATTTACTTTAATGTCCTTGTTCATTTATTTGTCTTTCAAACACTTAAACCCATGCCCGACTACCTCGCCGGAGGTCCAATCGTCATCATTGTCACTATGTGAATAAGAGCAAAAGGTAAAAAGGACCTTTTTATTTATTTATGATATTTTGGGGTCAGACCAGTTGAAGCTCGCCGGCAACCGTACGAGAACATTTGAGGATTGATAAAGTGTTTTGAATTGGATGAACTGATTACAAATGAAAAGAGAATGCTTGTAGATTAAAAAAGGAAATTGGCTACTCTGCAGTCATTATCGCTGCTTTTGATGGGAATTACAGAATGCTATCTTCTAATGAAATTAGAGCAAGTTTGAAAGATGAAAAAGAAGAAAACTTGGGAAGAAAATAAATCCCAAGAACACTTGAACCAAAAGATATCAGACTTCCCACTTCTATGTATCTACCCAGAAGACCCTTTCAGTTGTAGATGAGAAGACTAAAGAATGAATCGGCCGAGGAACCCTTCTACAACTCTTGCATGCGCTTGACTGGTTGTTAAAGGTTGATGTAATCTGAATCGACTGAGGAGTCAACAAAGGCCGCTTTCCTTCTCTCTGTCGACGACAACACAGCAGCTAGCGGCGGTGACGATTCTTCTTCCTTCTTCTTCCCGGCAACAGAGCAGCAGCAGGCAACTTTCGACTTGCTTCTGCTTCCTCCTTCTCCTTCTTCTCCGCGATTAGAAGCGGCTTCGACAATTAATTTTTCTCTGGCCATATGTGAGAATGGAGGGGCGACGGGGGCAATTCTTCTCTGCGGTGGTCGTCGGGTTTGGAGGGTTAGAATTGGACTAAGGGTGAATATGTCATTTCGGTATAGTTTAGGGCGATAAAATTCAAATTTTAGGGCGACAAATAGCAATTCATATGAAAATGATGGTAGAATCGTAGTTGTGGTACCTCAACATGATGAACTTTTCTGTTTTGGTCTTCAAATTTTGTCCATGCTTGTTGGATTATTAGATTTTTTAATTTGAAAAGTGAAGGATTTATGATCGATTTGGGCAATTGTGGATTTGGAAAGGTGGTTGTTTGTGTATTGGACTTGATAATGGATTGTGTTATATTGAATTTATGGCTCTAACAGCAAATTTATCTTACATTTTTTAACTAAATAAGAAGTATTTGGGTTATAATATATTTATCTTACATTTTTTTTTAGCTAAATAAGAAATATTTGGCGAATAATATACGAAGACGTTGTAATCAGAGACCATAAAAGATTGTACATTGAGGTATCAAGTTACCTCGCATGAGACATGAGTGACCCAAAGGTACATTTAAGCCTAACTTAGATGAATTGAATTATCATGGTTAAGTTGGCCTTATAAACTACAACCACTCATTAAAATTAATCAAATGTATTTAGTAATTTTGGTGGTTAACAAAGGAATAATTTTAATAAGAGTTCACTACTAAACATTTTGTGTTTGTCAAAAGAGTTCACTACTAAACAACATTCTCCTTCTAGCACTATGCAGATCACACATCCATAAAAGATCAATGTTTCATGAAGAAAAATGTCAAGGAATCATTAGGAGTATCAAGCAACATTGACAAACAAATACAAAATGGGGTCCCGATTATCAAAAACCATAATGGCGCGTCTTGCTCTTCCGATAAATATGTACCTAGAGGTGGCAATTTCAATTCAATCCACCAATTCAATCCATCGACCCATTAAAAATATCCACCTAATCCAATCCATTTAAATCCAATCCATTTTATCCAAATCCAATTGGATTGGTGGATTCATGGATTTGATCCATGGATCATTGGCAAATTACGGTTTAGTACCTATAATTTTTATTTTTTACATTTTGGTACCTAAAATTTAATTTTTTATACGAAAAATATCATTGGAAAATTACGTTTTGGTACCTAAAAATTTTCATTATGACATTTTAGTACCTAAACTTTTTACATTTTACATATTGGTCCTTGGTTGAGGATGTCATTTGGATTCATGGATAATCCACCAATCCACTTGATCCAATTCATGAATCCACCAATCCATTAGATCCATGGATCCACCAATCCACCAATCCAATCCATTTGCCACCTCTATACCCAGTATACTCATAGTTGGTATACGATTCACCACACATTCAAGTTTCTCTCTTTCTCTTCATAAGTTTTCACAAATGATTATCTACACTCTTTCCCAAATTATAACATCTGAGAGACTTCTTGCAAATCATATTTTTTTTCTTCCATACAATTCCCGACATAAATGTTTAAACAACTTATATAAGCTCAGTCTTCTCTCCAACTAAATCACATATAAGTACAAGTTTGACATAATCAATTCATCCTCCTCTTTCTTTGTTAAGTGTTCAGGTTCACAAATAACTATTCAAGAACAATATCCAAAAAAGCAAACCGCCATTTTTGACAAAAGAGGTGTATGATGTTCTCATCAAATTCCAACACTACCAATCACCTTTACTCGTCCAATCTCACTCCAATATATCAAGCTGACGTTGGAGCCTTTTCCCCACTATAGGTCAATGCATAACATATGCATAGAGGTTGCTTTTAACCTTCGTAGATTAACAATAATGATGGGGATAATTATAATAATTATTTGGGTCTTCCATATCTCAAGGTTTGATTTAATGTGTGATTTATTACATTGAATCGACTAATAATTAGACATTTTCCTACTAATTAAGAGCCCCACCTTAACCCTCCCTCCCAACATACCATTTACAAGTGGGCACCCTTCCTGCCTACTATGTTCCCTTATAAGTGTGAAAAATATATGTTAAAAGAATATAATCAATTAATATGTTAATGCAATTGCACTAATTAAGGGAGGGAAAAAGATTGACTAACCTCTTCTATTCCAAACAACTCTACCTCTTGATTGAAACCTTTGTGTAACTATCTCCTTAGCTTTAGCTAGGAAGGTTGGACTTTGAAACTTCCACTCACTCTCCCTCTATTACATAAGGGTTCATCCTCTCAGATGAACTCTTGACTTTTATTTCTCAAAATGGAATAATCTACTTAATAGATAAGATTATTCTCGATACCGGTCACTAATTACTTAAAAAAGTTTAGACTTTCAAGAAACATTTGAAGAGAACTAAAGGAACATAACTTTTCATTTATTTATTATCTTGAGTGTGGCTTTTATAGCTTATCATGGCTATTATATTTCCTCTATAAACCAATAATCAATGCGATATTCAACAAAATTCCAACAACTAATAAGTTTTCACTCATTTCTTTAACCATTTTGAGCGAACGAATATGCAATTTTGATCTCTCAGAGAGGACACTATCACATAATGAATCTTGCTTATAATTGAATTTCGAAAAAGTATTTACTTAATCTTTTCAAATACATTATTCAATACAATAGATTGTTTCTTTTACCTAAAGATCAGAGCATCCTATCTAAGTTATTAGGTATACATAGGTATATGATTCAAGGAAGTAATACAATCATCTTAAACATGCATTGAATTCCAAAACCCTTTTCATTTAAAGTAATGGGCATGTTCCTCAGCCATATATTTACATATGGGTAGAAGAAGAGCTAATCCTTCCCAATCCCCATTTTCATAATCTATCTACACTAACTAGATATATAGTATCCAATTTGTGTATATTTATAGTATTCCCCATCCCATGTACCCAATCTATAGCTACAAAAATAGCTCTAATCTCACCTTGAAAGATCTTAATTAATCTACTCTATATATGCTGATCTAAAAAATTGGTTCCTCTGGCCGGCGGCCAATCAGTTGTGAGTAGGAGGCTTCTTGCTCGCCGCCGCATAGTCCATTCCGGCGAGTTCGTCGGCGTCCGGCAAATGGGTTTCTTTGGACGGAACCTCCAAATTATCCAACTTGTTATTTTGCTCCTTCACCTCTACCGCTACTACTTCATGCTTCTCATTGCTAACCACTTCTTTCAACCTCCTTCCTGCTATAACAAAAGCAAAAAGCACAAGAACCTTCATTAGCCAATAGCCATTAGCAAAACGTTGGTTTTTATGTACATATATGAATTCTCTTCTAGCATCACGTATATTCATGGAAAAGAACAACGAAACTACGAAAGATCGAATCGTGTAGATCGATCATTACCTTGAGCAAATGGAGAGATGAGGCAAAGCACGAAGAAGGCTACAAGAAGGATATGCTTGGTGGAGTGGTTCTTATGCATCTTTGACATAGATGATGATGAGTGTTTGATGATGGACTATATATGAGATTTCGATTCAAAGGGTTTTCTTCTTCTTCTTCTTCTTCTTCTTCTTCTTCGTTTGATTGGATTTGCTTTGGTAGTTGATCTTATGGTTTTTGTTTGGGAAAAACTGCAGCCACTAGCTTATATAGAGAAGGAGAATGGGGGAAGAAGAATGTGTAATAATTCTATACAAAAACTAGCTAGAGGCCAAGGCGAAACTTGTAGGGTCTTGTCATTGTGAAACCGTCATTGTCGATGTCTCACTAGTGTCTTTGCATGAAAGTGCTAGCTAGCAAGCTAGCCCTAGACAAGAAATGACATCTCCAATCTCCATATGGGTTTCATTTTTTTTTTTGAAAATAAGAAAGAACTATATATCAATGAGATATGTGTACTCTATTTTCCTAGAAACAAAGTTAGAGATGTGCAATCTGGATTTGGATTCAAAGGATGGTTTGGGTGATTGGGTTGTGATTTGTTGTGAACAGTAGATAAATCAAGTTGGATGGCCAAACGACAAAAAAGATTTGGGTTGTGACCGAATTCAAAATGTATTTTTTTTAATATTCATGTCCTGTTTGGGATTTCAAATTTTGACTTGATTAAAGTGATTAAAAAGTCGCCCAATTCATAAAAAGTTTAGCCAGATTTTGAAATCTACTAATTCATACAATGTGTTATTTTCCTCATTTCTTAATAAGTATTCGATAAATTCATAAAGACATCTCTTAAGGGATGTTACGAGATCGGAGTAGGAGAGCCAACCGCTATGCAGCCACGTCCAAGTACTGAAATGGAATGTGGTTATTGTCATCTCGACACGATTACTTCATAACTTGCTCTGCCTCATGGCTTATGCTGATATAACTTGAATCAAACTATTTGGCTACGACTGGAAGTCACGAGAGTCTTGTTGGTTCTGAGCCATGTTTGTAACCATTTTTCTCTACCATATTGGATTAGGGTTAGACTACATGGAGAAGTACTATAAATACTTCTCATATTCCTTTGTAATATGTATCTACTCGAAGTATAGTGAAACTAACTCTTTCTCCTGTTCATGAACTACATAGAGAAGTACTATAAATACTTCTCATACTCCTTTGTAATATGTATCTACTCGAAGTATAATGAAGCTGATTATCTTTCTTGTTCATGAACTAAAACACATAGTGTAAGTGAAACACAGAAATTGCCCAATTTATTTGGTGGCTACTAATTATTATTATTATTTAATTATTACTTTTTAACGATGTTTACTGTTCCTTACGGAAAAAACTCCAACCCTCGAGTCCTTCGTCAAACACTGTTCATTACATTTATTGTAGTTTTTTAAACCAAATTATAACCTACATGCGGTTGTATGCACAAACATATAATGAATTACACATAAAGGGGTTTCCTACGTAGTATTTTAATTATATGTGACGTTTTTCCTAATTTGATTCTATTATGAGACCGCACATTACAAAATATTTCCGTAACACCGTGCCATAAAAATTACTTACATTATATTATGTCAAATTTATGAAAGAATAGCTAATTTTTATGTCTAAATTAAACAAAATGTAAGAGGGTGTGACTTTCTTAATGATTTACGTAAAACTTACAGAGAGATAGTAATTTCTTATGTATCAACTAAAACAATTTTACGTAAGTCTTTTGTAATATAAGTTTTAATGAAATTTTTTAAAATTAACTAAAAGTTCACTATTTTATCACTTTTCATTTCGCAAATGTCCCATACGGTTGGTTTAATCAAATGTGATGCTTTTCGTAACTTAATTATTAAATTATTAATTAATATTTCACCATCTCATCAATTGCATTAGACAAAGGCTCCATGCGGTAAGTTAACTTCTACATGGTAGTTTACTCCAATATGATGCTATTCATAATTTGATTTTATTATCATACCACACATTAAGGAGTATTTACATAACACTATGCTATAAAATTATGTAATTATATTAATTCAAACTTATAGAGGGATAGTTATTTCATATGTATCAATTAAAAGAACACAATAGGGTATGACTTTCGTAATGATTAATTCATTACGTAAAACTTATGGTGAGATATCTATTACATAAGTCTTTCGTAGTAAAAGTTTATGATATTTTTTAAGGGTAATGTCTATATTTTATCCAAACCTATTAAAATGCTATTATTTAGCCAAATCTTTCATAATGGATCAAAATATTTAGCCATATTTACGTTATCGTTAACAATTTTGTAACTCTTTTCTTAGTTAAAATACTAGAATTTTCAAATGTTGACCTTCACGTGTCTCTTCCAAGTCAGTATCATGTTGCCAAGTCAATTTTACTAACAAAATTGCTAACTGAAAGTTAACATTTGGTTAATTTTTAGTATTTCTATAGGTTTGGCTCATAAAAAGAATCCAAAAAAAGTTTGGATGATAAATAGTCATTACCCTATTTATTATTATTATTATTAACTAAAAGGCTAATCATCTCATCAATTTTCATTACACAAAGATTCATAAGGTAATTAACTTTTAGATAATAGTTTACTCAACTTTTCTATAATTTTATTTTACTATTAGACCACACATTACGAAAAATTTATGCAACACAATTATATAAAAATTATGTAAATTATAAATACATTATGTAAAGATTGCAGAGTATTTATTTATGATAATTTAATTAAACAAGCATATAACGTAAGTCTTACCGCTGCGAAGCGCGAGTCAAAAAACTAGTATTAATAGTATCCCTACAAATTAGTAACCAAGCATTTAAATTATGCAGGGGGAAAAGCCGACATGGATTGAGGCCAGAAAATCGATCATTTTTTGGATAAGCTGATGAAATCACGTGATAGGCAGTATGCATGCATGGGCCCTCTTTGATCTTGTCCTCAAATCAAAGCTCAATTAGCATTTAATAGCGACTAAATGTTTGCTAACTAATAATGCCAATAATGATTTTTTTTTCCCTAGTGATTGATTAGCTAATTGGATTTATACTAGACAACTCCAGCTCGATTTAAAACATAAGAATTTCACCTGTTACGAAATTTGAATTCATTCGACATGTTTAAGATCGTCATTGTCTGAACAACAGAATTCAAGACACAATGAGTCATTAGTGTTCTGATCTTGACATGCAACATTTTCAAAGTCTTTAAGGTAGCCAAAATCGAAATTTTAGTGGGCTAAAATACTTGAGGCATCCTTGTATAAGAGTACACAATAAGATATGAATAAAATTCAGATTATTAGTTGTCCCAAAATGAAAATGAAAGGGATGAATGCACACAAAGTGACAAAAATATAAAATGAATAGTTGAGCCCTAATCACATGGCTGTTTCCATCTCGAAATCTCATCATGCCCAAATTTGACTTGTGGCTTCACTCTTGTCAACTAGATACCAATTTATTGTTCACCTATCTCTTTTCAATATGTTCCTTTTCTGAGGGGAAATATTCAATGTTCCTTTGTAATTCGATTTTGGGTTTTAGAGACAGAGCAGACAGTATGGTTGGGTTTGGGTCCTCCTTGTTACCCAGGAGCCCAGCCATGATCGAACCTCCTAAGATGTAATCGGCTTAGGTGATGGGAAGCTAACTAGTAATGAGTTGAGGGGATGCATACCTATAGGAATTTGCTATGATGGTTGAAGTGTCGAACGCCTTCTCAAGTTCTCATGCAAGTGGACAATTAATATATATAAAGATCAAGTTGAGTTACTGATGCCTAATCTCGCAAGCTGATTGGGCAACAATTATTTTTACATTTTCATACCCAAATTTAATTAATTACAACTTAGTTATCATTTACATTTTGATACCCAAATTTAATTTTAATGTAAAAGTATTGAACAATTATGTTATGTTATATAAATTTTATGAGATTTTCGTAACTACAATTTTTTTAAATTTACATATTGGTTTAATGTTTAGATTTCACTTGAATCCATGAATCATCCGCCAATCCTTTTGAATCAATCCATGAATCCAACCTACCATAACAAAGAATATCAATTTAGTTTGTACCATACAAGATGTTGTATCACTCAACTGTATTCATTTTGCTTCTCCCTAATTTTTTTTTCACACGAGCTGGAATTTTCGACAATTATATATGGAGTGTTTGGCTAGGTATCTACATTTATCAAATAATAGTTTCCATTTTTCTATTAAAAACGTAAATAATTATCATCTTAAATACATCACCATAAAGGAATTAAGTGTCAAATATACAAATTACAGTTCGGTACCTAAACTTAATAGATCTTTAGATTTATAACCTAAATTTATTTTTTTGGCACATAAGTCCCCAAATATTGATTGAAAATTACATTTTAGTTTCTACAATTTTTGTGTATGACATTTTGGTGCCTAAACTTTTGAAGTTCTACAAATATGTCTAATTTTTGTATGTGTAATTAAAACACCCTCGAATAAATGGGTATCCATACCCAACTCATACACATTTAGGTTATGTTTATGTAAATACATAATCATATCCTACCCAAACTCATCTACAAACTTTCAAACTCATATATACGTCACCCATACCATACCCATAATCAATGGGTCTACTTGGGTTTAGGTAAATATCATTTATTAGCCAAAAATTATAAAACAAATTAATGTTGACCGCCATATATCTCTTTTCAGTTAATATCATATTGTGAAGTCAATATTACTAACAAAACTGCTAACAAAAAATTAATTTTAGACTAATAATACAAACAAACACCATAACGGATCACATAATACATGCATGCCCATATACCATCTCCGCCCGCGACAAGGCGCGGTATCGCCACCTAGTTTTTATTAAAAACACTAATCAATAGATCTGGTGCTTGTTTCAGTAGACAACAATTGGATTGAGAAAACTGAACAGTGGCGAACACGTTGTAATCAGGATGGGTTATAACCCCCACTCTACTTTCAAATGTAGGTAAATTTATATGTAAAATCAGTATAAAATCGAAAAATAGACTA